GACAGACAGACAGACAGACAGCGAAGAGAGAAGGAATATGTCGAATTCAAATTGTCAGTTTCGTTTTGTCAGTGGGATAAGTCTCAAGCAACTATACATGCCTTAGAACCAGACCCTGTATAAATAATCTTATATTATATTAACAAACGTTCATTGTTTTATATCATTTATATAACTTCTTGATACCCAAATAGCATTTGTGAAGCTCGGTAGAAGTTGTGTGAACATATAACTATTATAAAGCAAATACTACTACCATACCTGGTACGGCGCGCTCATATGACCTTAGCAGTTGCGAGCGCCGTAAAACCTTATACTACTACTATACCTGGTACGAAACTCGTATCCAGTTATATGGTTCATAATCAGGGACACAATGGGAGATGGGGGTTATCAGATTTGCCTCAGAATACCCTCCACATGCGTCACGCTAGTGTTGTTGTCTGCTCTCATATCTCGGACTTTGTTTCTGATATCTTTCTATGAGTGGCTGACTCAGCTGCATGGCATCGCGGTGAAATCAGGCGCTCGTTGAAATAATGAAATGTTTTGTTTTGGGCTCAACATTTTTTAGGTCCATCTAAATACAAATTTATGTGTGGATTTTACTGAAAAAGGTTGATCAAAGGAAAGAAAAAATGTAAATTTAGTTTTCACCAAACTTCGGTACCTATTTTCTCGCTAATTTTATCTGTGACACCAAAACCATTCCCACATTCTTCATTAATCACAATTTCTCGACTTCTACTGAAGACTGGTGAGTATTTTTTAAAGCAAATAAGCAAGTTTTAAGATGATACCAATAACGCCATATTATTGTGCCCGAGAAATGACGAGCGCCTGATTCCAGCGTGACGAGACAAGTCATCTGCGTCGCTTGTCAGTCAGGCAAGGAGATTAGATGTGATCCCAGGCCTAGCTTGAGATGACTGCACACTTGTCCGATTGGTCGGGTGTGCATGATCGAAACGGGACTCATGAGAATCTGTCTGGCTGATGGTGCACGTGAAGGAAATATACTTTGAGCTCTGCGGTATTTTAAACAGTAGTTATGGTTGTGTGGATTATATTGGAACAAGGCCGCACACCGTCTTATGTTTTCGTTATCAACCAACAATAGGTTTACATGATAATACGGTTTTTAAAATCCAAACTAATGGTTGTTATGTTTAGTGTTTCCGCGGTGCCCTTAAGATGTTCCTGAAATGTTTAATTGTATTGTACCGATGCTGTTGTCTTTGTTGTAGTTCTTACAGCTGTTACCATTATTGCTGTTGGTGGTGGTATTGTTGTTGTTGTTGCTGTTTTGTTGTTTTGCTGTTGTTGTTGATGTTGTTTGGTTTTGTTGTTGTTATTGTTGTAGCTGTGCTGCTACTGTTATCATTATTGTTGTTGATGTGACTATCGTTGTCATTGTTCTTGTTGTTATTGTTGTTTTTGATGTCGCTGCTGTTGTCATTTGACATTGTGTTTCTGTTTAGTTTGGCACATTATAGTTGAGGGTGCTACTGTTGCTACAGTTTTGTTATTTAAGTTATTGGTGACGATTGGTGATGCAGACAGCTCTGATGACATTTGAATTTATTTTGTCGGAAATCATTTGCGAGATATAAACCTAATTAGGCTACCTTAGAGCTCTAATCATGAGGTCATAAAGCAAAACTGGGATATTCATTTACCTACTGCCTCCGTCCAAATGTACTTTATTTATTCTTCCACCCTTTTTTATTCCTCCACAACTACTTTTGTCTTCCCCGTTGTTTGGATTTCAGTAGAAAAAAAATGTTTGTATTTAATAAATATGATGAAGCTCCTCTCTTTCTCTATCTCTCTGTCTCTTTCTCTATCTCTCTGTCTCTTTCTCTGTCTGTCTACCTCCCCACCCTCTCTCTCTCTCTCTCTCTCTCTCTCT